TTTTAAAAGGTTAAAAATGCACAATAGGTTTAAACATGTAATTAATCAGATAATTAGACCAATTATTAATAGTTGAGCGACCGTGCTAAAATCACGGAACCTGGGAATACCTAACACCTTCTCTCAGTTTAACAGAATTCCTTACCCGGATTTCTGTGTTCGCATACCATAAATAAGATTCAAAACTTACTCGATTTGGGATTTCAAATAAATCGGTGACTTAGGACACCATAAATATCCTAAGTGACGACTCTGAAATTAAATAAATAATCTCATTTCGATTAATGTCACTTTAATTGGAAAAACTCCCTTATATAGGAGGTGTGACAATCCATTGATGCTAATGCATAGTTTTGAAGGTATGTATGCACTTTAAAATATTATAGGAAAAAAATGGGTATCAACAGCTAACGAGACACATTCTCGGCTATACCCGGATAAAACAAGCAAGGGACCGTGCCGCGTCCCCGGAGCAAACATTGAAGGCATATCGAGGCTCGAAGCGCCATCGCCACTAAGGTATGACCATCTCCCTTTTTGTTTACATGTTACACTAACCTTTGTGCAAATGTCCGATCAGAATGGTCGAAGCATAGCCCATCTCAAAGACCTTAATGTTTCAAAGCATACGTTGCACTCTTTTCCTTCGATCGGGTTTTATCCCAAGAAGGGTTTTACCGGCAAGGTTTTTAACGAGGCAACATCTATATGCTACCTAAGGAGAACCTAACAAGTATTCAAGGCTTCTCTTCAATCAACCTCGAACACTGAGGGGCATCCCCCCGAAAGATCGCCTTCTCGGAGAAGTCAAGATAAGCCAAAAAGGGTCTCGATAGGAAAATGATATATCGGGCCAAACGGTCGAATGAACCGTGTTCGCATAGAATAATTGAGCCCTTGACGGCAAAAACGTGTATACTTGTACCAAGTAATTAAAGAATATTTCCTCCTCCATCAAAACGCTTTACACTTCAAAGAAGTCTGATGCTTTCGCAAGAAATGGCTCCAAAGCCAAAAATTTCCCAAACAATCGGGGACTGGCGTCAGCCACTCGAACTACGGGTCAGAAAACTTTGAATTCACAAGCCCTCAATGAGGCAACACCAAGTTTATAAAAAAAAGGCTCCAAAGCCGAAAAGCGCTCAATATCTCGGGGACTGTCACCGATTGTCATCCCTTCGATTTGAAAATTTGAGGCTATAAGACCCCATGCGGGCAACCCCGAGCTCATAAGGCCTTCATAAGGCAAAACCAAATTTGTAAGACCTCAAAAAAGGCATGAATCATACTTGTACCAAGTAACCAAATCTATAATACCTCAAGCAAGGCATGAATCATACTTGTACCAAGTAACCAAATCTGTAAGACCTCAAGCAAGGCATGTCAAAATTTATAAGACCTTACAAAAGGCATAAATCCCAATCTTAAAGTTAAGGCCATATATCCGAACTTGTAAGACCCCTAAAAAGGCATACCCTCTATATAGACGCTGAAACTACTTTACTCGGGGACTGAAAGGCTCCGGCCAAACATAATGACTATGGTCACAAGGCTGTACCAGCCAAACTAACGCGACTTGGGGATGCCCAACCGTTGCTATAAAATCACAAGCCTTCAATTACTTCGAAAAGAATCGGTTAATCAGGATACCCTCGGCATAAGCAAAAGAGCTTCGATCATATCAACTCCAAATAACCAGCTTCGATCATATCAACTCCAAATAACTAGCTTCGAAATGATTCAGTAGTGAAGCGAAACCTCCCGAGGTGCTCAATTACCTAACAGCTCACAATTGAGGTTCTTATCGAACCGTCGAAGAGTCGGGAGAACACAAATACTTCAAAAAGTTTTTAGCAAGGGAAAATAAAGCCTACATAAAAGGTTGTACCGACCCAATGCGTAAGAGCCAATGCCGCCAGCCCACACTAAGAGGTTGTATCGATCTTATGCATAAGAGCCACTGTCGCCAGCCTATACTAAGAGGTCGTACCGACCCAACGCGTAAGAGCCTAAAGGACAGCTTAAAAACTTAAGGTCCAATGAGCTCGAGTCGAAATCTGACTCGGAGACTGAGCCTGAAACAGTTAACTAAAAATGCCTAAGGGAAAATGCGTAAGAGCCACTGCCGCCAGCCCACACTAAGAGATCGTATCGACCTGATGCGTAAGAGCCATTGTCGCCAGCCTATATTAAGAGGTCGTACCGACCCAACACATGAGAGCCAATAAGCCACCCCGACAAGCCTCAGGGCCGAATTATAAACCGAAAGGTTTCTTTATACATACGCATGTATAAAACAACGTGAGGCTACATTAACAAAGTTCTCTAAGAACACTGAACAAAGAATCAAATTAAAAAAAGCCTAATCTTTTTTCCCTCGGGGACTGCGGCCTCTTCTCCACTATCTTCGGCATCAGACAAGAGGAATTTGGCATCATATTCATCCGCCCTGGCCTACGCTATCTCTTCTGAGAGATCGAAGCCCCTAGCGTGAACCTCTTCGAGGGTTTCCCTCCGAGATTTGCACCGGGCATATTCATTACTTCTGCTCTCTCGATCAAAAGCACCTCTAAACTTCGCTCGAACCTCAACAACGTCTTTTAAATAGACGGCCACTTTCTTGTCAGCTTTAGTCCGGGCGTCCACGACCTCTGCCTTCATCTCCAATTCGGACTCGAGCCTTGCAATCCTGCTCGTCTGAACCAAGCTATTTTTGCAGGAGTTCCGGAGCTGCACCTCGAGCGCAGAAACCTTGGCCAGAGCATTCTTCTTGGCCGCAATATGGACATCTATCTGAGCCCTTAGCTTGTTACACTCATGCTTGGCCTAGCCTACCTCTCCCCAAAGGCGTTCCAGATCCTCTGTCTTGCTCTGCAACTGAGGGATAAAAATATTAATCTCTAAGGATAGAAAAAGGAGCATGCACTCCCTTAGAACAAAGGTTACCTGCCTCTCAAGGTGGCCCTCATAGTTCAGGCTTCGGTTCGCCTCATACTAAAGGTGCCTCAATTATTTTCCCCTTTCATCACAAAGAAGCCTGAGGGACTTCTCCCTATCCAAGGCTTTCCTTAACCGGGCTTCACAGCGGAGCAGCTCGGACTTGAGCTTGTCAAAGGCCTATAAAAAAAAGCTCGATAAGAAAACAAAAACGTAAAATCAGAAGATCAACAGAGTCGACCAAAGCTCACCATAGAACAAAGCTACTGAGCCTCCTCAAAGGTCGAGCGTGCACTTGCTGGCCTGGTCTCACCAGCCCCAGTTGAACCAATCTCGGTGGGGGTGCGGTCGCTCGAAACCCCGCTTGATTTAGGCGGCCCCTGGTCTCGAACACCCCTTGAAGTACCTTCGATAGGGGGCGAGGACGACAGTTGAACACTTGTATCCCACGAAGTACCTTCAATGGGAAATGGAGACGGCGGCAAGAGAGGAACCACTTTTCCAAGGCTAGAAGCCTCAGATCCTGCAGATACGTCTTATTTGAGCCTTCGAGCAGGGCTTTCCTCACTATGAGCACTCTCATTCTTCAAGGATCCCTTCCGATTGTTGTCGGTCCTCGACCCCAAAGCCAACGATTCTTCCTCCTCCCCGAGGGGGCACGACCTCATCTCAGAAAAATCTCCAATTCTTGCGGTCACGGAGTTAGTACATATAAAATAAAGTACCTTTCAAAGGAATCAAGCCACACACCACGTACCGTGATGTTTTGCCTCCCATCTACCCTTGGCCAGATCTTGCCACTTACGCTCATCGTAAGTCGAACAAGCTATCAGTTTCCAAGACCAATCCGGTAGGTCGGGAACCTCATATGGCATCCATGGGATTGCTGCAACAAGAAAAGGAAAGGAAAGCATCTTTATAAAGTCCGCCTTCACCATGTGCAAAAATAATAAGAATACAAATGTACCACTTACGTGTGAAATTCCATTTCTCAGGAAATGGAAGGAACTCTGTGGGGATAATATCGACAGTATGCACTCAGACGAAACGACTCATCCACCCTCGGTCCTCATCTTCTTCATTGCTAACAACAAAGGGCCGAGTGGATCGACGTCATAGAGTAATCAGGCCTCGACGATGCAAGGGCCAGTACAGTCTGAGAGGATGATTGAGGGTGAACTAGAGCCCAGCTTTATCTGCAAAATACCTTACCATCAGTACTATCTTCCAAAATGACAGGTGAACTTGTTCCAGGATAACCCAACATCTCCTACAAAACTCAAGTACGACCCTGTCGAGGGGGCCCAACATAAAGGGGTACGTATACACGTTCAAAAACCCCTCGACATGAGCCATGATGCTCTCTTCGGGGGAAAGCACTTGCAATACCACTTTTTCTCCCCATCTACAGTCCTTTCTAACTACCTCAATGTGCTTCTCCCCTATTGTGGAAATAAACCTCGACGCATGCTCCCGATGACCCTGAACATTGGGAGGTATCTTTAACGCAAAGTCCCTCCTCGTGACAAAGCACCTCGAGGGTAGCTCACCAGGTACCGGCGGTGTACCACCGACCGAGCACGAAGCAGAGGTGGAAATCTCCTCTCCTTGGTTAATGGGTTTTGACATAGCAGCCATGGAAGGTAAAGGCTTGGGCGAAAGCTTTTGAAATGGTAAGAGAACTAGCATAGAAAAGAGCTCTATAAGGGGATTAGTTACTCAAAGTAGCGGAGTCTTCAGACAAGAAATAAGCAAATGCATATACATAGAACAAGCAGCGACTGTTCGCCTATCTTCAAGGCCAATTAACTATGACCATGTCAGTCCCATTTTGTGGGAAAGTGTCCTGATGGGACCACCCCGGCCGCTTCACAACTGTGGCACATAAATGATGATGCCACGCAGCGCTCGGGGGCCATTAAGACCCCGAAGATTCCTGTTGTTACAAGCATCGATTCTAAAAGGTTATCGACCTAATCTCGAGATGGTGCCCGATCTCGAGGGTCCCGACTACTCCGAATATGGACTCCGAAGAGCCAACATCAAAATTCAACAATAGTGCTTTACATAACCATTGAGAATAAATTCGAAGACTTGAAGCAGAAAAATTTTCTTACATGGCCAAAAATATATTTATAAGGGGCGTCTTTGCAAGACATTTTCCCCCGAGAAGTTCATACATAAAAAAGAATGAAAGATGACGTGGGCCTATTCTTCGCCGCCACTGCTCTCCGGGTCATCTCCGGAACCCCCATCCAAAGTATTCGAGAATGCCAATTCTTTCTCCAAACCTCGGGGTTCCTCAATCTCGGCTGAGAGATCGGCGCCTTTAGTGCTTGCTTCCCCGATAACTTGCCTCCTTGCCTCTGCACGAGCGTAAGCGACGGCCATATCCAGCTTCTGCTTGGCTTTCCCCAATATTTCTCGGGCTTGTTCATTCGCAGTAGCAACATCTTTCATGTATGAAGACGCATCCTCTTCAGCCTCAGACATGGCCACAGATAGTGCAGCAGCCTCCTTTTGGGCGCTTTGAAGAAGATCCCAGGTCGATGCCAACTCCGACCACAAAATATCCCTCTCTGAGGCCACGGCCTCATTTTGCCCTCTTAACTCGAGGATCTCCGCATCCTTGGTTGCGGCCTCTTCCTGAAGTCGCCCCACGATGGAATCCTTTTGCCCTATCTGCAAAGATAAAACAAGTTGGTAAGCGTCAAGCTACGAGATTAAAAAACGAACTTGTGGATGCCATGTTACCTGCTCAGCAAGGCCAGCCTTTTCCTAGCACACTCCCTCTAAACTGGCCTGAAGCCTGCTCAACTCTTCCTTCTTTCGGGGAGAGGAGGTCCTCGACTCTTTTAACTCCGAGGTAAGCTTTTTGACCTCCTTCCAACAGCATGAAAGCTCACTTTGGAGCCTAGAAAAGGCATGGTCGTACATCTTCTTAGCCTGCAATAACACAGAAAAATCAGAAAGTCGAGCATAAAGATTTAAAGCACAAGTGTTATGTCGAGAGTATCACTTGCTGCTGAAGCCTCTCCGCCTCCTCGAGGGCACCGGGAGCATCGAGATCAATACTATCGTCAATACCGATGAGGAGGTCTTCGAGCATATCTCCCCCTCCGTGAAAGGCCCCCGCGCCAGCGGTATCCTGATCCTGAGCATCCCTAATCTCCCCCGGTGAAATGCAGGGCCCAAATTAAGGCCACTCAGAGTGTTAATTTCTTTAAGGGCCTCATCTTTTCCGCGAGAAGCTTCGGGTTCAGGCCCTTCGGAGTCACCAACAGCGGGTTCATCAATGCGGACTGTGTCATGTCCGACTTGAGACACGGGGACTGTCCCCGAGCCCCCCAAGCCCTCATCGAGGGTCTCCTCAGCGAGTCTGGTCCAAATCGGTCGCCCCCGATTCGGCGGCCTCCCGCTCTGTATCTTGCGAAGCATCTTCGCCTCGTCTCGCCCTTTGTACCAAAGGGCATGCATCATCATCATCATCACCTTCGTCCTCGGTAAGAGGACTTGCTATAGCAGTCAAAGATGAGACCGTGGCGTCCTTCTTCCTCTTCTTACCCTTGTCGGGTTTTAAGGTGTCCTTTCACCAGCAGGGGCTGGCCTCATCGACACTCCATCCCCAAGGCCTGCACAAGCATGATGCATCAAATAAAAGGTGTTATACCACATTTTAAACTGGTGAAAGTAAGGTACAATATATAGGCAATTTCGTAATTTGATTAAAGTTAAAGAGTCGTCACCTAATTAATTATGGTGAATTAGGACACCTAAAGTTAAGTAACGTATTAATAAAGTATAACTCTATTAATGATCTACTTAACCTAAAGATTCTAGGTAAAGGATTCAATTAATCTAAAGGGAAGGTTTTTAAGGCACCCTTTAAGATCCATTTTAAATGGTTAACCAACCAGACTAAAGTTAATTAAGGCTAAGCGTAAGTAAAAATCCTTTTGTTTAAAAAAAAAAGAGACTCAGATTCACATTAAAAGTCATGTTGAATATTTGTGTTTGTACGTTAAAGAACATTGATTTGGACTTGTTCGTTTCTTTGAAAATGTATTTCGATTTACTTGGATCAAGACTAAAAACGTGACCTGACACATCATTTGAATTCATTTGGAAACCTGATAGGAAAATCCACTTAAATTAGAAGTATTAAGAAAATCAAGGCATGAAGTAAAGCAAAGAAGTGGACGTTGTGGTGAGAACTAACTGCTTTTAAACTCCTAACATAGATAAAACATTCTACTGTGTGTACTGTGTAAAGTCAGTGTATTTATTATCAACTAGAGGCAACAACTTCATAAATGGCCAAATGACAGTTAGTTACTGCATAACATGTCCAGGCTAAGCACAACTGAAAAACAAAATATGAACAGCAATAGCAGGTAAAACATAAATGAAGTAGAATGAAAGGATTAAAAGCCATGTCGGCTCCCTCTGTATTTTTGCTGCCTAGACGATGTAAAAGTTGTAAAGGATGAGGATGTGCAATCTTGGCGAGGTAGCGGCGTCGTTGAGTCTCAAAGTAAAACTCTTCGGCTCCAATGTTCATGTAAAACAAAGAAAGAATAAAAGAGTTAGAGGGGAGAATTTCATAATAAAAGAGTTAGAGGGGAGAATTTCATTCTTGACATTGTAAATATAGACAGTAAGTAGAATAAAGAAAGAAATGTCACATTCAATTTTGAACCATTTATAAACTAAAGAACCTTCCATACAATGCACCACCCATAATAGAGAAGGGCTTAAATATGTATCAGATTTTATACTTGAAATAAAATGACAGATTCTTAAGTGAAATACTGAATTTGAGACAAACAACTTTACTACAATATCAATGTAACAGAATGTTATCTTAACGACAACTATTATACTTCTTTTTCTAAAGTGCATTTTCATGTTTGTTATCCCACACAAGTTGAGCTCTACATGGTATACTTAAAGTTCTTTTAAAGTAATATGAACGTATAAGATTAATTACCTCTTTAGTTATTGAATCCTAGAAGAACGTGGCATCTAGTCATTCCTAAAATCATCTTTTCTACTATTTGAAAGCACAACAACACCTCAACAAGTTAACTCAAGCACGTAGCGGTTAACTCCTCAAATACTAGTATCATTATCTTTAAATATAGTTTCAAGTCGAGAATATGAAATATTCACGTTATGCCACAGAGAGAGACCAAGAAAGAACACATCATTAAACTTGCTAAATGATATGCGGCGCGAACTTAAAGAGAATTCTAAACTAACTCCAAGTTGACAGTTCAAGAGTATGGGACATCTTCATGCATGTCTTCAATCAAACAGTGCACCAACAGCGTGCCAACAATCATAATGATCCTAAACGTGATATCTAAATTCACGAATTGACATCACGGAGATGAAACTTATGTATTCATATAAGCATTTTGTCAAACATTCATCGATCAAATATTTTAATATACAACCAGAAAGTTAATTCCTAATGGCATAATTTCTACACACCAAAATTTTAACTTCTATTTTAACAGAGTGAACCATTGCGCATCACATACCAACAGTAAGGAAAGAAAGCTTGAGTTTGGGAGTAACCGACCGTTTGTGGGGCAGTGAACTAGGTCGGCGTTGGCCTCGAATATACTCTCCTGTAACGAAAGATCCGAACTTCAAGCCGAACGAATTCGAATATCTGTCACGGCCAAAGTTCACCGAGACAGGAAGAAAGTTAACGGTGAGAGTACAAATGATAGTGTTCGAGCAGAGGTGGATTCCTTCCTAGACTTAGTATTTTGACAATGTAAAGTGGTGTTTCTTGTCCCTTTTCAACCTCTGGTTTCGGCTGAGATCCAAAGAGAGTATTTATAGAGAAAGGTTAGGGCCCCTTGAGAAGTGATTCTCGGGCGGTATATGAAGAACAGATTAGCCGTTTGAAATCAAAGAGAAAATCTTTACACCAGCAACTATCTCTGGACAAAGGTCAGAAACTTCAAAAGTATTTTAGCCTCTTGTATTGACTAAATCTTGTTGCAGACGAGAGAGAGAGAGAAAAAGGAGTCACGAGATTTGAAGAGAGACAAAGAACTTACGCAAAATCGGCGAGGCAAGCTTCTGCCATGGTTGAAGAAGAGCTGTAATCGGCCAAAAAATGGAATGAGAGAGAAGAGGCGTAGGGTTTAGAGTTGGCTGGGCTCATTATTTGGGTTAATTCAAAGGAAAGCTGATGGGTTTGTGTTGGTCTGGTGGATTTTGGCACAATATGGGCTATGGAAATGGGTTGTTGTGTGGTTTTTGCGAAAGAACGAACTTGGGCCTTCAATAGGCCGAATTTAATTGGTCTTTTCTCAATGTTCAATTATTCCTTTGGAACTTCTTTGTATTAAGACTCAAATTTATATAGTATATATATGTATGAGAAAAAAAATAATATTAAGTAGATATTAATAAAAATTAAAGTAATGACAATATTAGTTGCGGCAGTATTATTAATAACAACAATAACAAACATAATAATAATAATAATAATAATAATAATAATGATAATTGTGATAGTAGTAGTAGTAGTAATAATAATAATAATAATAATAATAATAATACCAATACTAATACTAATAAAAATAGTAATACTTATACAAATATTAATACTAATGACAATGGTAATAAAAATAAGGTATTCGGTTTATTAGTAACTTAGAAGCTCAAGAAAATTAATTAGAAAAAAGGAGGGACAAAATTGGATGTCAACAAAAGGATACTCGCAAGGGAACATAGTAAAAATAACGGCAAAAATCATACCGTGGCTCTTGGCCTGCCACCGCGTTCTGGCCAAATCGCGCCAAGAGCGCTCAACATAAGGAAATTTGGAGTCCAACTATCTAATATACCCCGGTAGGTTCTGAAACGCGCCAGGGTACCAAATAGTGGCTGCACAATCAAAAGAAGATCATTTGACAAAAGGGGATGAAAGGGCAATAAAGCATCCTCGAGGTGGGGGCGCTTATGCTGCGTATTCCATTCCTCCGGGAATGGCATCATATTGGCCGGGATTACGTTCGAGGTCCTCACTCGGACGAACCGGCTCATCCACCTCCGATCCTTGTCCTCGTCAATGCTCGAGAAGAACGTCCTCGTAGATCGAGGATGAAGCTTGATCAGACCGCAAAAGAGACTGTGGCTGTATAGTCTGATCAAGTGATTAAGAGTGAAGGACATACCCTCGATTTGGTTAGAAAAACATTAGAGCATATAGACTATCCTCCAGAATCAAGGATAAATTTGGCCAAGCGTCACCCGGTACTCTCGACAGAAGTCGAGGATCACCAGGTCTATTGACGGAGAAGAAGGGTCCGAAGAATCTATGGGACCCAAAGTAAAGGGGTATGTATATACACTAAGAAAGCCAGCCTTATAGTCTACTATGCTTTCAGCGGGTCTGGGAATCTCAACCGACACTGCTGCCCCCCGTTGGCAGTCTTCTTTCACTCTTTTTATATTGGTTACCACGCTGATGTACCGAGATACATGCTTGCATCGCCCTGGTGTATTAGGAGGATTCTCGACGGAAAAATCGGATTACCAAATCTAATTTAGTAGGGGTACATTGTTTGACAGTTGGGGGAGCTTTTGGTTTACCCCTGGATGAAGAGGCAGTGCCCTATTTTCGAGGCACTGTTTTAGAGGTCCTAGCCATGGCTATAAAAAGTTTTTGAGAAAAGAAGTAAGGAGGCAAGCGCGAAAGGGAAAGGAATGTAAGAGATGATGAACTTAGCTATATGGGATTGAAGATGTTGTAAAAGCGTGAATAACAAGGCAATTGAGGTATTTATAGAGGGTGTATGGGCAGCGTTTGGGAAGCGGAAGGGCCGAACCAGTAGCGGGTCGTGGGCTTCTCAATAGTCGTGTTGACAACGACTCCTGCGCGACTTTTAAGTTATGGCATTTAATGCTCTGATTGACTGACGTCATGGCAGTGAATATCGAATAGGCAAGAGTTCAAGACCGTTTCTTATCATTTTCATTCTAAGAAACGCGGGGACTATCTGTATACCGTAAAAATCAGAGGGTCCGCTTTTATGATCATTATGATATCTTGCAGCCCATTCTCGGAAGGTTCGAGGCCCGACTCCGAGGGCTTCCATACGTTCGGTCTCGAGGTAGTGCAAACCAGCGACTATGATAAACTAACGGGAAGTTCCCAAGGCACGTGACTGAAGATGGCCAAGCCTATTAGGCTAGTACAAGCCCATACCGTGGCATTAAATGGTTGTACCAGCCAAATATCATTATAATAAATGCATTTGTACTATGTTGAGATTCCCTCTCATATATAAATGGGACCCTTGTCATTTTGTAGAGGACACATTGCTCACAACATTCAATACAAGAACATTCTGTGCTCTCTAACTTAAACATATTCTCTTGGTTTCACTACTTACATTTATTGCTTATATTCATAGTATTCTATTCATTGTTCTTTATTTATTGCTCATTATTGGCCATAAAGAGCTTTTATCAAAGCTCTCAAAACTGTTAATCCTTCATCGGCCCGTTCATAACTCAACACCGAGCTTGACCTCGAGGCCCTGTATAGCCAGGCTCGACTCAGCCGCTCGGTTTGCCTAAACGCATCATTTTCAAGTTTTTATCTTATTTTCTAGTCTTACACTTAGCATCTACTGCCTAATAAACTAGCATAAAAACAGATCAAGTATTTTTAGAATACCAAATCAAATTTAATTGTAATTACCATTTTCAAGGTAAACAGTTTTATTTCTACTTTGTTAATGTGTTGGCGTTTATGTATTGTTACCATAAAACATAGCAGTAGTTATTAGTAATACTTATTTTGCGTGTCATTCCTCTAACTCAACAGATCTCTGGAAAACTCTCCGGTCTTTTTACCTAAGCACGTAACTCTCACTATATTCTGTTCTTGCCAAAAAAAACAAACAAGAACTTTATTTAAGTGTAATAGTGAAGTGCTTTTTTGGTTAACTATTTGGTATTTATTGATTAGTAATTAGAATTTGGATCATGAAGGAGTCATTAATGGAGTCGCTCCCTACCAAATTTTTTGCTAATTATTGTAGAAAAAGGAATAGTTGCGAAGCATTGTTAGAGAGAAGAAAACAAAGTTACAGATGGACTAGCTGTTATTAGCCACACGCCCACACATCATATCCTCCAACTATATGAAGCTTTACCAAGACAGATTAGAGATGGCATCTTTTGGAATCAAGCAAATAAAAGCGTCAGTTTGATCAATCCCGAAAAGTGTACAGTTGTTGGTGCATTGCCACGTTTTATTTTCTTTCCTTCTTAATACTCCATCCGTTCCAATTTATGTGAACCTGTTTGACTGGACACGAAGTTTAACAAAAAATGAAGACTTTTGAAATTTGTAGTCCTAAACAAATCAGAATGGGGCTCAGAGTATTTGTGTGGTTATAAAAGCTTCTCATTAAGGGTAGAATTGTAAGTTTAAACTAAACTATTACCAAATTTAAAAAGGAGTCATTCTTTTTTTAATGAACCAAAAAAGAAATAGGTTCACTGTAACAAAGGGAGTACTACTTTTTATTCAAGTGTTACAGAGTTTGGGATGCCAAACTCTCAAATATAGCATGAAAGGGGTTGTGCATGTTTTCCCTAATACAGTGTGATTTCTGGAAATTTAATAAATGTGTCCGGTTTGATTAATATATATATATATATATATATATATATATATATATATATACTAGTTTCTATGTACGGGTGTGCATATAATACTTTAGCAATGAGAAGAAAAAGATGAAAAATTAGAATGCTAACTTAAGAGAGTAGATATTAGAAGTCTTCAATAACATATGCAACTAATAGATAATGTAGGATATGTGGAAAATTGTAACCAGAANATATATATATATATATATATATATATATATATATATATATACTAGTTTCTATGTACGGGTGTGCATATAATACTTTAGCAATGAGAAGAAAAAGATGAAAAATTAGAATGCTAACTTAAGAGAGTAGATATTAGAAGTCTTCAATAACATATGCAACTAATAGATAATGTAGGATATGTGGAAAATTGTAACCAGAAAAGTACGTTGATTCATGAAACGTTCATATTAACTAACCCACTCTTTTATCTAATCTATACCAGTATATTTTTAAAATTATTATACCTTTTAATTTGTTACTTATATGAACAAATTAGTGCTAATAACGACTTATGTGATAAGTGATGTATTACATGTGTTAGTTTCTAATTCAATTATATGTTGATATCTAACATAGAAGTTACCAATGCATGCATTTTGAATTTATACTTTTTTTAAATATCTATCAATTTATGTCCAATCTCCACGGTCCACACATTGAAAAATATATGTTTTTTACTATTTTGTTTTTAAAATTTTATTACATTATCATTTTTAGTTCTAGTTTTTGAATAAAAATAATATAGAAAAGTTCAATTCATAAATAAAACTTAATTATAAACAATTTTCCGATAATTTTAAAATTAAAAACATTCTTGGATAAGCAATTACGATACATGAGCATTTAAATTGTAAGAAATAAATATCACTCACCAACGTTATTGCATATTGAATCCAAAATTAGCTGAAAGGATAAAGACAGTTTGAAGCTAGAAACTCTTTAAATTCTTGAATCGAATCTCTCAACTTCTTCAAGTAGTGTCCAATGAAGACACTGAAAGCAACGGTTAGATACATAGTTAGAAAATCTCAAGAGAATAAAATTAAAAATATTAATATTCTGTAAAATTTACTAACTTCCTATTTCGTGCGGCATCATAGTTGACACCTGCTATAAGATTACTCGTCTACCTTGTCATAATAACTAATGAAAACTTCCAAGGATAAATGTTCAGTCTCTTCAATTACTCAAATCAATATGTGTATCTTAAATAAAGTAACATATTAATCAAATGGATGTGTGACCACTAACATGTCACACTTACATCATATACTTAGAATATCCGGATACATATTAAAAAAATTATACTAATCTTAACTGCTCTGCAAGTTAACAAATTAAATCTTCCGGTCATAAATATAGCTCAAAATTAGAGAAGGCTGAGAATGGCAGTTCCTTGTGTCTATCGAGTATTATCGGTTCTTTTCAATAACAAATAACACTTTTTTAAAAAGAAAAACATGAACGTATGTAGAGTTTGAAGAAGTTATGC